TCAATTTGTGGTGATTCAATTGTTACTTCTTATGAATAGTGCGATGATGGTAATGATGATCCCTTAGATGGCTGTGATTCATGCTTGTATTAATGTCCTTTAAATTGTAACAAATTGTTAGGAACGACTTTGTGAAGATTGCAATAGAGGTTTTATAAAGAAATGGTAATGATTGTCAAGACACTTGTGGAAATGGGTTTAAATCTGATTAAGAAGACTGCGATGATGGTAATCACTTATCTTTAGATGGTTGTTCAGATATTTGCGATATTGAAATGTATTGGACATGCTTTGAGGATGATCTCAAAAAAAGCTCCTGTGTTTAAAATATACCTCCTCATTTTAAACTAATATTCTTAAATTAAACATATAATGTCTAATATGTCTAATTATAATTTACTAATAAAATTAAACTATTATATTCATCTTAAAATTTAACTCGAAACTTTAAAGCTTAACTTATTGATATTGATCCTTCTCATTATATTATCAGCGATGTATTAGTTAATGAACCTGATAATTAGAGTGTGCATGAGATAATTTATTAATTGCGAATTGAAATCTTAGAATAATAAACACAGGACATTTTTCTACAAGTTCAATTAAATACTATATTGGTTGATCAAGATGATTTTTAAGTTGATAATGATATTTCTACAATTCGTCTCAAAAATCCTGTTGTATTAACAGCTGCTTAAAAGGAGATTTCCCATAACATAAGCACTTATAATCTGGCTATACTTATTTTCCTTGGAATATCAAGTATTATTATTTTGATGTCTGGTCACCCTGCTGAATGCTTCGAAATCCTGGATACAATTTAATTTTAATCCAATTTAAAATTCATTAACATAGCCTTTCCAGAAAACCTGATGATATACTTTGAATCTTCTGATGTTGTTACAATTATTCCTATTTTAGAAAAAATTGGGATGTTAAATTTATGTTAAGATGTAATTGGATCCGAATAATTGCAAGCCTTTGGTAAATTTTAGAACTATGATGTCAATTCTGATTTAATTAGTAATTTATATGGTTTTGTTAGTCAAATTCTATTAGGAACAATATTGCTTATATTATCATATTGCTATTTAAGATTTATATTCAGAACTTGGTTTACTCAAATAAGAATTTTTATTTATGATAATAGATCAATACTTGTCTCCTATAACTTTGCATTATTAATACATACAATGAATTAATTTAGCTTAGGATTACATAAAATTTTATCATAACAAGGGATTGTTTATATTCTCTAAGTAAATTGTTGGGATTTAATTTTTAAAACTTTACTTTATCTGTTCTCTGAAAAAGAAAGCAATCCGAGAAATATTGCATAAACTATAATTGCAATAATCATTTTAATCTCAATAGCATCTTTGATGTCTCTATTTTTTTAGTATTCCTTATCTTAATTGAAACCAAATAAATCTACAAATTTTTGTCATGAAGGCATCATAATTGCCAAGAAATTTTTAATATTAATAATGTTAATAGGATCTTAAGGGAATCCTATTGTGCAATGTGTACTTATTGCATGTGTTAATACTTGTTAT